GGGGGATCTCACAGTGTGAACGGGAGGTGCTTCAAGATTAGTTCCTCCCAGTGACCGTACAGAGCCAAGAGATCACAAGGCCTGTGAATCCATGACATGGGGTAATGGCTTGATCCTGGGTATCCATACCTTCAGCTGTGAATGCCATCTCTGTGTAACACACACATCTGTAATAGCCATCTCCTACTTATCCAGGCTATGCTGTCTCCCCTTGACCCCTCATGGGAATGTCAATGATGTCTGCAGTTTCCAGTGCCAAGGAGAATTTCTCTCTTACTCCTAATCACTGTACACTGTGGTGTTGGGGCTGCCTGTCTCTGGGGAAATTGATAGGTCTGTGACCGTGTGGATCAGAGCAGTTAGGAAACTTCCAAACCTCAGAGATGCAGCAGAGTGTCCACTCTCTGTAGAGTCCTGATGGTCCTTTCCAAGTCCCTTGTGACATGGATGCAGTGCTGACCCTGAGCAGCAGGAACAGGGCATGGCTCCTCCAGCTCTGTTTCAGTGGTTCAGAGGGATAACATTACGGTGAGCCTGCATCTCTGTATAGCCAGTAGTTAGTACGCTGGGGATGGGATTTTGGCTTCTTCGTGCCTAAATCGCTTTTGAAAATGAGATTTAGGCTCCTAAGTCAATTAAACTTGCAACAATGAGTGCCACAACTCCTAGATATTTTTACAAATCTGGTCCTTAGTGCTTTTTATCCCCAGGCTCCTTCCGTGAAAGGGGGCTATTCCCTGACTCACAGGGGTGTTTTCAGGTCCTTAGATACTGAGGTGATCAGGGCCACATAAGTACTGTAGATAGACATAGACTATGAATTAAGTCCTCTGAGGCACTAAACCATGTTGAGGGTTGAAGGGGCTGCAGCCTCCCCCTCCCTGACACTTATGTTGCCTCGACCTGCTGCCTCCCATGCTCCTAGGCTCTGGTCTATGTGCCCCTAGCCTTCCCTTTCCTTGCCTCTGAAAAAAATTCTGGCTCTCCTTCTTCCATGTACTGATCTTATTAACCCTCACTAAATGCTGTCTGTCTCTGATGCTTACACTATCCATTTTTCACTTAGGCACATGTGCGTGTGGCGAGGTCATTATTCCAGTGCAGTTTGTTTTCAGGGTGCACAGTAGCCAATAAGAGGTGTTTTACCCTTTGCCTCCAGCTTTAGAAGGGCCTCTCATCTGACTTACTCATGGACACCTGGGATCGCCCTTGAATCCCCAAAGAGTCCTTCTAAAACATCCCGTTTGGGGCCTCATGCCCCAGACATCACTCCACTGTCCTGCACCATTGGAGAGCTCTAGAAAAATGATGCTCAGACAACTTGGGTGTGGCCAGACAGCAGCTGGAGCGATACTGTATTTAGAACTTAATAAGAAAATTTAGGCTGAATCCAGAAGAGGATGGGTCTCAAAGGTAACTTTAAGCCTCCTTTCACATCCTACTCCACTTTGGCGGTTAGTGGTGAGAGGGGCTCCAATAAGTTGCACTGGCTGTTAATGTTCCCACGGGACTGCTTCATCAACCCGTGATCTTGAACATATGATAGGGGTTCAGCCAGGCACCCTTCCCTGGCCACACTCCTGACATGCACTCTACACCAGAGATGAAGAGAAGGTGACATAGGGTCATGTTGGGAGAATCCCCAGCTCATCATTTAATCCAGCTTTCTCCATGCTTTGTGCTGGTGAAACACAGCAATTCATGTAAAATAGGTAGGAAGAATCAAGCTCTTGATTTAAACTTACAGTCATACCATATACAAGGCAAGCAAAGGATGCAAAGTTGATCGCATGCCAAACTATTTTTTTTTACTTTATAAAAACCACAGACATTTACATTTAGATATTCAAAGAATCAGAAAATAATTAAACAACACAAATTATTAAACTATATACAAACATACTGCATTTGTACAATCATAAGAAGTACTGTAACAAAGTAACAGGTATAGAGTATAGGCTCACAAACTATTTAAAGGGACACTACACAATTCCTATACACAGGGTTAGAGTTTTTGGTTTTCAGTTCTTTAATGTGTAATAATATTGAAATGGAATGGTGTGTGTATGGAGCTTGTTTGTGTGTTGGTGTGATGGAGTGTAATGACTATATTGAGCTACTATTTGGCAATTGGTTCTGATGGGCATGACATAGCTTCAACTTCTGATTTCTCTGTCATTGCTTGTGGTGTTAATTAATATATTTGAAGCAGACTTAAATAAGCACATTCCTAAATAATATTGCTACAAATCCTTTCTAAAGAAATAATTAGATTAATTATTTTTCAACCAATTTTCACCAAAAATATCAGCAAAAATCCTTGCATGTTCCTTCAACTGAGGAGGTTTTAAAATGGGCAAATAAAAGGCATCGGGTTTTTTGTTACCTTTTCTGAAGGAAAGAACTAAGGGAAGCGTACAGTATTCCTCCACCTTGGTATGAGCATGACATTGTAATGAGCTACTTACTTTCTAGTCACTCTGGATGAACAAAGATTAGGTAATGGAGAATCAGTAACAGTTTAGTTTATATTCTCTTTGTAGAGCTATAACTTGGTCCTCCTCAGAATAGTCTTTTGGCTTCTCTTATTTCTGTAAAATGTCATGCAAACTTGTAGCACTAGTATCACTTTAAAAAAACAGATTTCCTTTTTTAATTTGTTTTTTTTTGCTCTAATATTGAGATGTTTTGGAATATCAGTGATGGGGTATGATGCTAGTCAAATAGGGTGATCAACAAAACTTTATATAGAGGAAAGTGAAATTAAGCAAAGAGATGAAGAAAAATGATTGAAAAATCATAATTTAACTAGAGTTTCAAACCATTGCATTCACAATACAATCAAACAGAAGATGTTTTTATTATCAATAGTGCTCATGTTCAGACTTACGTTTGCTCTTTGAAGGGAATCCAGTCTCTGTGTCTGCTTTTTAACTTCCAGCTGAGAAAGGGAACTAGTTCACACTCTTTCTCTTTTTATCTGTCCCTTTCAGAGAGAAAACAGTTTTCCTGTTGGACAATGAAAGTACATGTTACATCAACAATAAGTCAACATGACAAGGTTCAAAGATCATTAGAGACGAAAGCAAACTATGGCAGATAAAAGTGAACTTTGATCTCACTCTTTGAATACCTGGGGTGTGATTCACCACTCCATTATACAATTTTATGCTGATGTGACTACAATGGTTTACTTGGATCACCAGGGCAAAATTGATGTAACAACATGGTGGTTCAGGCCTAGTATCTTAAATGATATTGTGGAGTGGTGGCAAATGCTCCATAGTTAAGGTTGCCAGATTCCAGGGGCCAGATTTAGCACTGTGCTGGGTGTAAGGCTGCTTTCTAGCCATAGTGTACTGGTGAACATGGCCCTACATTTCAGTTACAAACCCTACTGACCTACCAGTTGGGAGGTTAGATCTGAAGGCCAGTAGAATTTTTCTACAAAGTTTGAAGTTCATCAGACAAGTTTCCTTAATCTTGACACCCTAAATTAAAGGAGTTAATCAGAGTTCAAAAAGCTTTCCAACTCCCCCCCCCCCCACACACACACACACTTTGTAGGGAACAAGACAAAATGAAAGAGATATAATGTAGTTTACTTGATGTGGCTAGTTGCCATCTGTTACAGAGGACCAAAACTTAGTTGGTTAAACTCTTGTAATTCTAATTTTAAAACTTGTTCCTAGAGAAAAACAAATAAGCTTTGTTATAGTAAAGTTAAGGATGTAGTCATGTATCAGTTATATATATATATATATATATAGCTTTCAAGTATGATAGCATGTTTAAAAAATTAGAAACCCTCAAAATTCAAATCTAAGGTTGCACTTATGAGAAATCCAAAGATGTGAAAATATGGAAATGCACAGATAAGGTACCCAAAGTGGCTTAAATCAATCCCCACATAGACGCTATCCTATTTTGTCTCCATTTAAGGCTAATAGAAAACAAGTACCACAGAGCATTATGGAATTAAAGGGGTGAAATATTTTGTTTCAACTTTTTGATTCAAACTGTTTTTTTATTTTAAATTTGGCCAGTTTAAAACAAACAAACAAAAAAGAAAAAAATGAAAAAAAAACCCACCAAAATGGCTAAACTCATTAAAAAAAACCAAGAGGGACAAAAGCACTTTGCGATGACTGAAACATTTCAGTTGATTTAAAATAATGATTTTTTTTTTAGTTCTTCCTTTTTTAGTTCTTGCTGGAAATAATTAAGAAAGGGATAGATAATAGGACAGAAAATATCATGTTGCCTCTATATAAATCCATGGTATGCCCACATCCTTGATACTGTGTGCCGATGTGGTCACCCCATCTCAAAAAAGATATACTGGAATTGGAAAAG